TTAATGTGCATCGGGATCACCTTGTTAAAATGCTGATCCTGACTCCTTTGGGGCCAGACCTGAGATTTTGCACTTCTAACAAGCTCTCCCAGGTAATGCTGATGCTGCTGGCCCGGGGACTAGCTGTGCCTAGGAAGACAATAGAGGCTGTTGGTGCCCCACACCTATCCAGTCAGCACTCACTGTTCATGTGCATCCCACCCTGACGGCATGTGACTGCAGTCTGCTCCAGGGCTTTTCCTGAACAGACAGGAAGTTCATGGTGTTGGTGACCCCAAAAGCAGCCTTCAGGCAGTGAGTGGCAGAAATGGTGGATAAATACCCTAACTCCTCCCACCCAGTGGGGATAACTGAGGCATGCTCTCTACTGTTTCCTAGAATTCCTCAGTGAGATTGAGCCTCAGCTGCTCATAGCAGTAATCACCCCAAGAACACAATCCTAATGGGCTTCCTTAATTCTCTGTCACTTCTCCTCTTGCCTACTGGTGCTCTCTGGAGTCACCTATCAAATAGATTGCTTACCTTCACAGCCTTGTCCCAGCTTCTGTTCCTGGAGAACCCAGCTTCAACCACTGCTTTCAGTTGTAAGTGACAAACCAAGTCTGGCCCTCTTCAAAACCAGACAAGGGCCACGGGGAGCAAAGAAATGCAGTAACTGGACTGTCTGGCCAGGGGCTGCCTCTGTGTCTGCTGCTCTTCAGTGACACGCTCCACTCTTGCCTGGAATCGATCCTCACTCCTCCTGTGTCTTTGTCAGAGCTTCAGACCAATTCTTCCTGGTTCAGTCATGGCCAATTAAGCAAAACCAAGATGGACCCGAATTTGTAAAACATAGCTGTACTGGAGTGGGAACAATTACAGTTCAGTAGCCTGCTAGAAAATTAATCTCCCTTTTAGAATACAAGGGCAGCGAGTGTTGCATAGTAACCAGATCTCTTGACTGGCAAGAGTTGCAAACAGTATGCCCTGTTCAAAGATGGTGGCCAGCCATGCCGCTTTGAATGTTGTGTTGCTTTCCACAGTCCCAGCAATAATCCAGTCTCCTGCATCAGACTCCTAAAAGGACTCACTATACTTCTTCTGAGTCTCCCATTCCAGGAGCCTCTCATTCCAATTATTGTTCCAGTATACTCATGTTTTACAAATTTGGGTCTGTTCTGATTTAGCTTCATTGGCCATGACTGAACCATTCAAAGGGTTGGTCTTTGTGCCATTTGGTTCTGTGGTCCACTTGGCTGTGCCTATGTCACCAGCCCATGCTGTGACCTCTAGGGAGTGGAGGGAAAGAGAACCGGGACCTTTTTGGTGTCTAGGTGTCCCTAGTGGGGAATAGTATACACTCCCCAGCAAGACGACCCCCAAAAGGGGAATGAACCTTTAAGGAGGAAGCAGGGATGGGATGCTTCTCCCAAAAAATGTCCACTAGAGATAGCCATATGTTTAGCATTAAGTGCAGAAGTGCCAGGCTGTTGAGTAAAAAGGATGTTGCTACATAGCCACTCCTCGGAAGGAAGGTTGGGCAATCCTACTTCCGTAGTGATACTGCCTCGGAAACCCAAGGAGGGGTCGCTATGAGTCGGGGCCAACTCGACGGCACATAACAACAACAACAACAACAACAACATAGTGAATGTAATTAATGTCACTAAATTGTACACTTGAAAAAAATGGCTAACAAACAAAAGAGAGGCATATGAGGTGAACGTTTACATTAGGTAGATACACTCCTTGGAGAGAACAATCATGGGAGAATAGAAGGGCTGTGCATGTACAGGGAGACAGCTCAGAGGACAGGAGTGCAAGGAGGGAAGGACACAAGGAAGAGGTAACTCTAGGGAGGAAGTGGGAGGGGAGCTGTTACAGTGTGGTAAATTATAGTCATTGTCATGAGACAAAGTGTATGTGAGCTGCTGTATGGAAAGTTAATTTGCTTTGTAAACTTTCACCCAAATCACAATTAAAAAAAAAAAATGGTTAAGATGGCAAACTTTTGTTGTATAGATATATACAGTGTACTTTCTTAAACATAAAGAGTCAAAAACGAGTCTATGCCATTTTTATTGTTAGTTGTCATCGAGTCAGTTACAACTTGTGATGACCCCTTGTTTACAGACTAGAGCTATTCCAAAGGGTTTGCAACCAGTGACCTTTCAGAAGCAGGTAGCCAGCCCTTGCTTCTGAGGCCCCTCTGGCTGAGTTCAAACCACCAACCTTTTGGCTAATGGTTGGTGCTTAACAGTTGGCTCCACCCAGGGACTCCTCAATGCCATCAGAAATTAGGATAGTGGTTACCCTTAGGGAGTAGTAGTGACCGAAAGGGGACACAAGGGCTTTCTAGGATGCTGGGAAATGGAAGTTCTGGTTTCATAGAAGTGTTCAGTTTGTGAAAATTCTTCAAGCTGTAAAGCTATTATTTCATGTTCTAATATGTTTTGTGTTTCCAAAATGTATTTTTTAAAAAAGGAAGAAGTGTGATGCTGATGAAACCTAAGATGTTGAGTAGCAACTGGCTCCAAAAGGAGAGTTCCCTTGGGGTCGGCTGGTCTTTGCTCAGTGTCCTCCTTGTCCTTTAAGAGAATGATGCAGTCTGGAGCCCTTCATGGAGACAGTCAGGGGTGGTGTCCTCAGCACTGCTCATCCCAAAGCTCCTTTAGGGCAATTAGCATTTAAGGGGATTGGCCTGCCTGTTCCGTAAGCAAATAATTTTACTTAGAATTGCTCCCCTTGCTCTAGAAAGTTCTTCTTCTTCTTCTTCTTCTTCGTTCGTTGCAGGCTCTTAAATTTAATATCTATCCATCCTAACTAAGAAATAGCCAGAAAACCACCCCAGGCATGAATGGATCCAGCTCGTCATTCCATTATATTCCAATTATTCCTGGCTTCCTCTTCCCTCTTTTCAAGAAAACACTGGATTGATGAACTGGCATGCACCCTTCACCATGCCAGGGGATTGGAGGAGGAGCAGGACAGGAGGGAGGACCCCCATTTCTTTTGCTCCAGGTCTCACCACTTTCCCAGCTCTAACAAGAGCCAGAGCAGAAGATGAGCCTGCAGAAAACCTGACTGGGGCTCAGGGAGGGTGAAGCTTTAGCTTTGGGGAAAACAGCAAAAGTTGAACTTGGCCCAGCATCTCAGAGGCCGAGGCAGCAACTAAACTTTCTTCTTCTAGGGACCCTGGTTCCTATCATTGACATTTATGTGTTTCAGCCAAGGCCCACTTCAGTGTCAGGAAAAGGGAGCCATTCATGTTACCTCAAGTAGAGGATGTGTGTGCTATGATCCACATGAAAACATACAGGGGTATGAATCCCATGGGAATCTAATAACAGACCTTCGAATGGGGCCAGACTTGGAGGACCAGAAGCAGGAGGCAGAAAGGGATTGCCAGCTACTCTAGGGATCAGCACCGCATGTTAGGAACCTTCTCACGGGCGTTCCACCTTTAAGGTGACTGAGTGACACTACTTTTTCTGGCTTCTCTGTCCTGCTACCACTGGTGAATCTTTCTGTGTTGGTTAGCTCATACTTCTGAGTTAATTTGATGGGCTCTGTCCATCTCTTCAACCCAGAGGACATAGGTGGTGGCCAGTCAGCTTGGATTGGGAGCCCTCTAGAGGCCTTATCCACCCTGCCTACTGGTGGGGTAGATGTCAGATATTTGTCTAGTCAGCAGGAACTGTGGGTGGGGTGAGTTTCTTTAAGGCAATATGGACAGTGTGACAATGGGCCTCACTGGGATAGAACCTCTGTCTTAGTTACCTAGGGCTGCCCTAACAGAAAGACCAAAAGTGTGTGGCTTTAAAGAACTGAAATTTATTTTCTCACAGTTCTGTTGCCTAGCAGTCTGTATCGGGATCTCAGCTGTGTCAGTTCCTTCCTTGTTGGTGGCCCTGGCATTGCTTTGTTCCTTGGTGTTCCATGCCTCACATGGCATCCGTCTTACCCCTGTGTGTGCCTGTGTGTCTCTTCTGGTCTTTTATAACTCAAAAGTAATTATGTTTAGGATCTACTGTACACTGTCTTACCTTATTAACATAACAAAAGAAACTCCTTCTTTCCAAACAGGGTCATATTTACAAAAACCAGTGTCTTATCAAGTCGATCCTGACTTGTGACTCCATGTGTGTTGGAGTAGGATGTGCTCCATAGGATTTCAGTGCCTAATATTTTGGAAGTGGATTGGCAGGCCCTTTCAAGGCACCCCTGGGTAACTTGAACCTCTAGCCTTTCTGTCAGCTGCCAAGTGTGTTAACCTTTCACTCAAGGACTCTCATTTATAGGGGTTTAGGACACATTTTGGGGAACACAATTCAACCCACAACAGTATCTGTCATTGGAAGGTTGGAAATGTGATACGGGTGTTCCTGCGTGGAGCTGCCAAAGTTGCTTTCACACCTGCTGTTAAGGTACTGCTAGGTATTGGTTTTTTACAGGTAAGGCCAGGAACACGTGCATCCCCATCCCATAGGGGAATTTATGTAGAAGATTCTAGAATTCCAACTTAGAATGTCTGACAGTAGGGTCTAGAAATTGGCATTTTTATGCTTCTTATGCAGGAAGTTTGAAAATCCTTGGTTTGGCTCTCTCAAGAACGTGTGTCCATTCTTGGCAAGCTGACTGAACCTTCCCCGGATTCAGAGCAGATCTACAAATAATGTGGCTTCTTTCCCCAACACCACTAGGTGGACTGCTTTTGTTGTGCCTTCTCTTTTACAACATAAAGAGTCAAGGACTGAACATTGCTCAGGATGAATTTGGGGAGGATGCTGAATCCAGAGAGGCAGGACCACACCTGGGGCGAATGGGATGAGCCATCACTGTTAGACAGTTGTTTTAGGACCAGCCAGGCAGCTAGCCTGAGGCTGGCCATGAAGCAGCTGTAGATGGCCCCCTGGGCTTGACCCTAAAGGATTTGGCCAGTGTTGGAATTCAGAAGTCAGTACCGTACCATCAGTGATGTTCTACAACTCTTGAGACCATCTTCCTTTCCTCCTCAACAGGTGTGCGTCTTGACCGAGTACGGGGAGGCCGCCAGAAATACAAGCGGCGGCTGGACTCAGAGAGCAGCCCGTTCCTGAGCTTACAGATTTCTCCACCTGCTAAAAAGCCATGTGAGTGCCTGGGCAGTGCCTGCTCCTTGCCGGTACTTGCACCTGGAACTTCTACCATTGACTGGGGAAATGCCACCTTTGATGCTGGGTGATGGGGCACTGGATCTTGGGGATATGACATTAGCATCTGGCCTTGGTGTGGGGTACTTCATGTTTCATTCAGAGAACATCTGAAATGTGGCCCCGAAAGAAGCATGTGGTTCTGTGAAGCCATGGGGCTCATCAGCCAGAACATGGCCCTCCCACCATCCATCGACAATTGCCCTGCAGGCTCCTCTCAGGAGAATTCCCTTGGAGAGATACTTCTCAACAGCCCAAGTCACTTCTGCCAACAACTCTATGAAGTCAGAGGGGGGACCTTACAGCCACGTGTGACCTTCATGGGGGATAGAGTCCATCCTGGGCTACATTCTGGACCCTCTCCTCTTTTCTCAAGCATTCACCTTTCCTTCTTTGTCCTTTCAGTGACCAAGATTGTCTCCTACCTGCTGGTGGCTGAGCCGGACAAGCTGTATGCCATGCCTCCGCCTGGCATGCCTGAGGGGGACATCAAGGCCCTGACGACCCTCTGTGATCTGGCAGACAGGGAGCTCGTGGTCATCATTGGCTGGGCCAAGCACATCCCAGGTGAGCCGTGTACCAGGGGCTGTCAGCCAGTCTGCCACTGCTTGTCCAGTGCCCATGGTTCTGACCAGTGGGAACCTGGGACCAGGAGGCTCCTGACATCTTGCTGCCCCCATTTTACCCTGGGTTCTTTTCCTCCTGCTGTGGGATTGGAGAAGAGCACGTGTTGGGAATGTCTGTGAAGTGTCGATTGATCAATCCTATGATTGATCTTAAAAGCAACATTTGCCATTGAGTCAGTTCTGACTCGTGACAACCCCATGGGTATCAGAGTAAAGTTTTCAATGGCTGAAGTTTTTGGAAGTAGATTGCCAGGCCTTTCTCACCAAGTGCTTCTGGGTGGACTCAACTCCAGCCTTTCAGTTAACAGCCAACCAAGCACGTTAACTGTTGGCACCACCCAGGGGCTCTGATCTGGATGACTGGATCTATAGTAAGTAACTTTCAAAGAGCAAGTTCCTGGAACTCCTGGAGGCCAAAAGGCAGAATTATCTTTAGACCTTATTGGAATTATGTTGACAGACAGCACGGAAGAGTGATCAACTCTCTTTCTTCATATTAGAGGCAGGTGGAATGGCACAGTTAGGGGTGTGGGCATTGGTGTCAGATCTGGACTCAAATTCTGGGTCTGTAACTTACTAGCTGTGTGACCCTGGGCAGGTCACTTGACCACTCTGTAAAATGGGAATAACAATCGTGCCTCCTGCAGGATTTGATTGGAAGATGAAATGAGACCATGTGTGTGGAGCATTTGCCTGGCCTGTGCTAGCACAGTATTGCCACTTGCCTGATCTCTAAGGGGGGGTGCGGCTTTATTTGGGTTCTCAGATTTTACTTGTGTTTCTAGTGTGGAAATTGTATATCACATGTTTGAGGTGAACTAGACCCAAGCCCTTCTTTTAGCCTTTCTGGTTCTGCGTGAATGGTATGAACTGATTTTTATTTTTATTTTTGTAGATACTGACCCATATTCCAGGAGCTCTGGTGGTGTAGTGCCTAAGGCATTTGACTGCTAGCCAGAAGGTTGGTGGTTCAGACCCACCAGCCACTCCATGGAAGAAAGACTGGGCAATCTACTACTGTAAAAGATTTACCACCTCAGAAACCCAAAGGGGATTGCTACGAGTTGGAATCAACTTGATGAAAATGGCTTTTCTTTTTTGGACTCACATTCTATGTTATACACACATTAGGGACTTTTCTATAGGCTGTGCCTTTACTCCTTAAATAATTTTAATTTACGCTTTAGCTCTTTGAAGGTTCTAACAGCTTGGTTCCCAGAGATGTAGACATCCTATAATCTACCATGGTTTAGATTCTTACTAGCTGTGTGTTATGGGACAGTTTGTCTTCTTCTCTGTCAGTCTCTTTTTTGTTTGTTTGTCATGGGCTCTGAAGTTGAATACAGCACGTGTGGTCATCAACAAAGTTGTTCTGTAGGTTAAGTGTGAAGGCCCATTGTTGATAGTTAGTCAGAAAGAATTCCTTATGTGTGAGACCTTGTCTGTGTAACTTACAAGAAGGAGCCTCTGTGTGAAGAGGAGCTTAAAGAGCCCAGTGGCAGGGTCTGTACTGGGCTGGCTGTAACTCAGCTGGCAGGAAGCCTGGAATTCCCTCTGCAGGGACTTCCTGGTGGCCCTTGGGCTTTCTGACTAGGGAGGGGGATCCCCAGGGACCTGGGCTGGTGTGCCCTCATTAAGGAGCTCAGCCTCCTGGGATTATACACTCAGTACTTTCTCAATCTGCCCAGTGCTGGTTCAGCACAGACCTGGGGTCAGGCCGCTGCTTAAGACACCTCAGCCTGGATTGTTCCACTGACCCAGGGCCACCCAGGGCCAAATCAGGCACAGCTACTTCCTCTCCCCTGCCACCCTCCCGCTCTTACACACTGCTGTTCATGATGTAGACCTGCAGCCTAGCAATGGCTCAGGAGCGGCTGCTGGCGGTCCCCTGGGTCACTGCTTCCTTCTCCCACCTCTCCTCCCCTGCAGTACCTTCAAGGGAGTGGAGAGGCACTGTCTCCCTGACACCTACTGTTCCCTGTGCCTTCCTGCCTCACAGCTCCAGCTCCTGTCTGTCACTTTCAAACCAGACTTTGGAATCCGGCAGACCTGGGTTCTGAACCTCCTTCTGCCATTAATGGTCTTGTGCAAGGTACTTGGTTTTCTTGAACTTCAGTGACCTCATCTGTAAAATGGAATACTAATAGCACTCCCCCTACCAGGATTATTGGGAGGCTGTAGCATACCCTGCCCAGCCCCTCACACATAGTGAGTGCTTGATAAATGGCTGAGGCTGGTCCCATGGTGGATAATACTAATAGTAATTAAAGGCCTCTTTTCACATCATCAAGGAGCTCTGATGGCATAGTGGTGAAGGCATTTAGTTGTTAATCAAAAGGTCAGGGTTTGAGCCCACCAACTGCTCTGCAGAAGAAAGATGAGCCAGTCTGCTTCCGTAAAGATTTACAGCCTTGGAAACCCAGTGGGGGTCTCTATGAGTTGGAATCGACTAGATGGTAGTGAGGTTTTTTTGTTTGTTTGTTTCACATAATCATTTCTCCTTGCCCAAAGTTTATTTCTTTTTCATTAAAAAATAAATACCAGGGCTCTGTTTGTCCATCTCATGCACTCATTTACCTATTTTGCATAAATCTGCATACTGAATTCTTTGGCCTGACCTTCCAGTATTTGAGGTAAAATTCATTAGTAGTCTCTTGCCACTGCATGTAAACCTCATATTAAGGGCAGTGAGACATCAGTGCCTGATAGTGTTAAACAATTGACTTAATCTCATCATGGATTAGATGGACAACTCTTCTGAAGGCCTGTTCATTAGCCTTTGGGGCAGAGAGAGAGAGCAAGAATGCTAGCATCAGGCTGGCAAGTGGGAGCCCACCCCAGGCCTGTGTTGGCTCCAGTCAGTCCTGGTTCCTGAACAGACAAAAAGAAGGACTGGCCACTTCAGACTGGTTAGGGACAGAACTCTGAGGAGGAGCCCGGGCCACCAGCCTGAAGGTCAGGAGTATACCTCTCATGCCTCAGCATAATCCAGCCTCTAGACCAGGGCCTCACACATAAGAGTCTTTGTACCTCCTCATCGGTCTTTGTACCCCTTGCTGAGCATGCATTGTGTGCAGGAAGATCTCTTGTTAGGAACTGTGGCTGCTACAAAAAAATTAGATTTTTTTTTTTGCCCCAAGGATCCAGTTTGGGAATAAGGTATTAACTAAAAAACAAAAAAAATAAAAAAACACCTTTTTTTATTACAGAAAATTTCAAACACAGTAGAAAAGTAGATAGAACAGTGTAGTGAATTCCCAGGACCCATCACCATCACCAGCCCGTGGCCACTCTTGTTTCACGTCTGTTGTTGCTGGTTGCCATTGAATCAGCTCTGATTCATGGCCACCCAGGGAATGAAATGTGTGTATTTTGAGTGCCTTCCAACCTAGGGAACTACTCTTCCAACACTGTATCTGACAGTATTCTGTTGTGACTCACAAGGTTTTCATTGGCTAATTTTGAGAAACAGATCACTAGGCCTTCTTCCTAATCTGTGTCTTAGAGTTCTAATGAATCTTGGCCACCCTGAAATACCAGTGGCATAGCTTCCGCCATCAGAGCCACACACAAGCCACCACAATAGGGCACATTTACAGAAGGCTACTGGGTTTCAACTGTCCCTACCCAGTTCTTGACATCCTGTGCGTCCATACATGATAAGACAGATACAGGTGGAGTTCAGAGGCAGGAGGGCCCTATGGGCTGCAGGAGGAGAGAGTGGAACATTAGTTAGGCCTTTAGGACTGTTGGCCAGTTACCAGGTAGAAAAGTCTAGAAGGATGCTGTGAATGTAAGTTTCCTTGCTGGTGCACAGAAGTTGATCTCTACCATGGTTTCTGAGCAGACCAGCTTAGCCAGAAAGATAAACAAATGAACACAAACGCATTTCCCCTCTTTTTGGCCCATCATTTTGAACACATAGGATACTTTCACAGAGTGTGTCCGTGGCACTTAGGGTTGCTATGATTCACTCAGAACAGCAGCCTCTCTTTTGTTCTAGCTAGTCTGAAGTTCCACCACTCATCTGTCAGTTTATCGTACTGTGGTGGCTTGAGTGTTGCTGTGAGGCTAGAGGCTATGCTACTGGCATTTCAAATACCAGCCGGGTCACCCATAGTGGACAAGTTTCAGCAGAGCTTCCAGACTAAGACAGACTTGGAAGAAGGAAGAGGCCATCCACTTCTCAAAGAATTGACCAATGAAAACCTTACGAATAGCAGTGAAACACTGTCTGATACATTACTGGAAAACTATGAATAGTTCTGAAACATTGTCCAATATAGTGCCAGAAAATGAGCCTGTGAGGTCAGAAGGCACTCAAAATATGACTGGGGAAGAGCTTTCTTCTCAGAGTAGAGCTGACTTTAAGGCTGTGGATGGAGCAAAGCAAGCTTTTGGGACCTCCATTTGCACAACTCAAAATGAGAACAGCTACAAGCATCCATTAATAATCAGAACATCGAATGTATGAAGTATCAATCTAGGAAAATTGAAAGTTGTCAAAAATGAAATGGAACGCATGAAGATCGATATCCTAGGCATTAGTGAGATGAAATGGACTGGTTTTTGAATCAGACAACCATATGATCTACTATGCCAGGAATGACAAATTGAAGAGAAGTGGTGTGGCATTCATCATCACAAAGAATGTTTCAAGATCTATCCTGAAGTACAATGTTGTCAGTAATAGAATAATATCCATACGCCTACAAGAAAGACCAGTTAATACTACTATAATTCAAATTTATAGATCAACCACCAAAGCCAAATGAGGAAATTGAAGATTTTAACCAACTTCTGTAGGTCTGAAATTGACTGAACATGCAACCAAGATGTGTTGGTTATCACTCATGATTGGAATGCAAAATTTGGAAACAAAGAAGAGTCACTGGTAGTTGGAAAATATGGCCTTAGTCATAGAAATAGTGCTTGAGATCG